TCTGTCCCTTGTAGGGCTTACCCCCCATAGTCCTTCTGTTCTTGCTCACCAGACCACTGTGAGCTATGGGTGTAGTTCTCACTTTGCAGATTGTAAAAGCACTGAAAGGCAGATGCTGCTGGCCCCGTGCTGGGAAGGAGCAGTGGTTGAGCCGTGCTGTTAGGGGGTGCAGCAGGCAGAGCTGTGCTGTGCTCAGTGCGTTTGCTGCGGTTTCACGTTTTTGCCAAAGGGGAGGGATGTGATTGAAATCAGTCTGCTGCTGACCCACAGCCTATTTTCAGTCTACAAAACATTGCACGATGAGAGCTATAGGGATCTTGAAACATCTGTTGCCTTTCATCTGTGAGAGCAAGGATTTTGGTTAGAAATGGCCATGTGTCAGCGGGCACCTTGGCCTTCCTGGCTCTTTCCCAAGTGCACATGTTTTTCCTCTGGGAGAACGTCCCCGTTTCTGTGTATCTTGGTAGAAGCCACTTTTGATTCCATGATATGGCTGGAAATTGTTTGCATGGGATGCAGGGCATTCAGCACAGTCAGAGTGAAGCTGGGCAGCTCTGGGAATGCTGTGTGATGCCCCTCAACCCACATCTGCCCACACAGACTGTCCCTGGGTCTGTCCCCACTTCCTTCTCTTCCAGTTGCAAAGCTGAAAAATTAAGCAGAGGAGGAGGATGGGGGTGGTTCAGTAGCTGCCAGCACTGGAAAGCAGGGCTTCAGCCCATTACTGCTTCTCCCCAACTTGCTGTGTGTCCCAACAACTGAGCCTCTCTTTGCCTCAGTTTCCTTATTTTCAGGATGGGGACACACATACCTACCTCTCAGGGGGTGAGGCTCTCTCTGTCCCCACAGCTGCTTGAGGGCCCTTTAGTGAAAAGCACTGCAACTTCCACACAGTGGCAGCAAACCCATTGTGCTCCGCTTTGCTCTCCAACAGAATATGGAGCTCTCAGTCCCAGAGCGATGCTGTCTCACACCCCAGCTGCCAAACCTTTCCCATGGAGGGGCTGAGCAGATGGGGCAGCTGAAGGTGAGCTGTAGCTCACTGATGTGCCTCACCGTGGGCTTTGCGTCTCTGCCACATCCCCCACAGCCCAGATTTGGGGAGCTGGGGGTGACAGTGAGCGTATGTTAGAGATGGGAAGATAAGGGGACAGCACTTCTCACTCAGCTGTGTGGCACATCTGCGTGGGCATGGTGTGTGTGGGGGGGGACATGGTGCACCCAGGGCTCCAGTAATGCTCTGCTTGCAAAAGAGTTGTTTAGATTTCACCCCAAATCTCCCTTCATGATCACCAGTTGCCATCAGAAATAAACAGTCAGACCAGCAACCCTGAGTTGCTGACACCTGTTACTTGCTTGTTCTCATTCCCAAGTTCCACTGGGGCTTCTGTTCCACAGCCCTGTGGTGAAATCAGATGTTTCAACATCTTTATTGAGCTCTTCCTCAGGAATGGGTTTGATCTTTCAAATCCTTCTTGGCTTAATGGCATTGAGTGGCAAACTGACTTCAAAACAAGGGCCAGGCTGGTAGGAATCCAAATGAGAGGACTCGAGGGATTGCCTTAAAGCAAGGGAAGCAAAGCCCAGCCGTGTATGTCCAATTCACTTGTCAGGAAGCCCTTAACACAGAGCCAATGGTCATACTGCCATGCCCAGAATGCTGCAGTGTCTGCAGAGCTCTGGGGTTTGGGTTGGATGCTCAGTGTCTTTCCAAGCTATAAGAGTGCCCTGAGGCATTTATATCCTTTGGAGAGAAGCTGAATTCGTGATAGCAATGGTAGTTTGGCGTTTACCGTGCAGCTGCCCACACGTATGCCTGCTCTTTGAGGGTCTGAGCTCTGCACTCCCCCTGCTTTCAGCTGGGATCTGTCGGCTCCTCCTGACACCGGCTCACTGGTGCACGTGCCTTCCTGAGGGTGACCCTACCCCGGCCGGGGTGGCAGGCAGCCCTGCCTAACTGCAAAGCTTCCTCTGCGTCCATAACCCTCACGGTTGTTTCATCTCCTGGCTGCACGCCTCGTCTTTCCCGGCACTTTGTGTTTGTATGACTCGGAAATCATTCATTCCATTATCTTCCTTTCTGTTTGCCTCTGAAAAGCTGAGCTCCGGGCAGCTGTCTCCTACCACGGAAATGTAGTAACGGGGCAGAGACCTAAGAAGCAGTGGCCTGCTGACATGAAGACCATCTCCATCTGGCACTGGTGTCTGCCTCTGAGGGTGTGCATGGCTGCTCAGTGAGGGCTCCCAAAGCAGAGGGGGAAAGGGATCCCAGCCACCAGCTGAGAAAAGCAGCTCTCCATTTCTAGCAAAGGAAAGTTGAGACTTCCGAGGCCGAGCGATGTCACGTTTTCTAGTCTGAGACAAACTGCTTTCAACCCGTTTCTTTTTCACACGTGAAATGATACAGAGCAAATCCAGTTCACAGTCTAAATGTAGCACTGCAGTGGTTTTGGTTTTTTGTTTTTGGTTTTTTTTTTGGTGAGGGGAAAAAAAAGAAATGATTTACTGAGAATCTGCACAGTCCAGCAAGGAGTACAATAGAAAGTCTTACCGGTGGGAGTGGTGTGTGCATCTCTTATGGTACTTAAATCTGCTTCAATTCTGGGTGAACAGTAGAGAAACGCCAAATTCTTGGAAATAACTTCCTCCAGTGTGAGAAGCCTTGCAGGGTAAGTCTGCATCCTTTCTTTTCAAAGCCACTCCATGCTTTTGTAGCCAATGGAAATCACTTAAGGAAAAGTCTGCGAAGGATCTCTCACCTCAGAGTGGCTGTGGCCAAGTATTTACTGATGGTACAAAGCTTGCTTCCCTACAGAGAACTGTTGCATTGCAATACTTGACATTTCTATGGCAAGGACACAACTTCTTCCCATTTACGCACTGAATACCTGGAGAGGAGTCCTTTCTCCAGCCTCTTGTGCACCTGTCTTGTTTTTTAAATGCAGTTATGCCCTGAAGGGTCGGGTGTTGTTTTTAATTTTTAAGCTTATTCAATTGTGATTTAGCACTTTTTTTTTTATACTAGCTCATTATTTAATCAGTGCAACGATTTTGGAAGACGAACAAAAGAGGAGTTACATTTTGGGCATTCCACTGACACAGTCCATAGCCGAGGATAAATCCTATTGACCCGCGGATGGCCTGGCCCCAGCAGCCCCAAAGCTGCCATCTCAGAGGTGTGCTGTCTGCTTGCTTCCTCTTTGAATCACAGCAGGATTTAACAGCAGTTTTGGCTGTGGCCGATGTGTTTTCGCAGCGCTGTTCCCCTGGAGGGAAGGCTGTTAGGAAAGTTGTGATTTTTAATTCTTCCGATGCAAAAAATGTAGCGCAGCAGTTTGGTACAATCCCCACAGGGTTGCAGTGGTCGGGGATGTGGTGCCCTGCTGCTTTCCCAGGATGATATGCCCTAATAATGTCTGTTTAACTCCGGCTGCTGCTGTATGTCAGGATTTAGTCTCCCTAGCTGGTAGGACTAGGAGAGAAGTGAACCGTAATCCCAAGGGCACAGACCTGTACAAGATGAGGAGGGGGAAGCGGAGATTATTTTTCTTTTTTACATTGATGAATTTAGAAAACCTAACATTCCTTGTTATGCGTATGTTGCAATTCATACTGGTGTAAGTGTAAATATTTGGTGTGTTGGCAACAAGTCTTTTTGGAGAGATTGCAAATTGAACCTCTGCTTGGGAGGAGGGACATCCTTCTGTTCTGACACATACATGAGCTTTGTGAAGGTTGGCTTGGAGGTGAAGTGGTGATGAAGACTCCAATCTTCGGGGGGCTGGACGTTGTGACCCTGGTGGTTCTTTCCAGTCCTGTGTGTAATTCCATGGTTGTCTTTAGTGATCCAGCAGTTCTTTAGCCAGATACTCTTTCTCACTTCATGGACAGCAGTTGTTTTGGCAGTGCATCTTCCCCTTTCATTTCAGTGGGTTTTTTTTGAGGTACTTGCATGCTGGAGACTGATCCTGGGTCACCAACTCCAAGTGCTTTGTTAGCCCATCCATTACGCAGTATTTTGGCTCTTCCTCCCCACAGGGTTTCACGGTATCTGGAGGAAAGTGCTCTGCATTTCTGGTGCTGGTTAGAATCTAAATGCACTCACTGCCTGCCTGGGACAGGCGGTGCAGCCCTGGGTTTTGTGTTTTACAGACTTCCAGTTGGACATGGCATGAGTCCAGGCTGAGAATCAAGATAGATAACTGTGTTTGTCTTTTTCTTTCAGTAGAGGAGGGGATGAGTTTTTTTTTTATTTTCCAAATTGAAGCTGCTTTATCCTTTTTAATTTTGTATTTACAAAAAAAAAAAAAAAAAAGGAAAAAAAAAAAGCTAATTGTAGCTGTTTGAACTTGCTTTGGGATTTTTCTTTTTATGAGAAAAAACTGATGCAGTTTTTGTGGGGCTATGTGCCTGTTTCCCTCCTGGGGAGAAGACAGGGCACCGTACAGGACTTGCCTCCAATGAAATGTGAGGTACCATCACAGGGCTGCTGTGAGACACAGACCAGATGCCAAATAGTACTTCCAAACAACTGTTCTGTGTGCAGCTGATGTGGGTTTAATTGCTTTAATGCTCCTTCCACCCCACTTCAGAAGCTTCTAGCAGCAGAACTTCCTCTGGCTTTTTTCTGCTTGCATCATTTCCATGCAATCAGATCTTTCTTTTAGAGCGAGCACAGAGTTTGCAACGCTGTCTTGTTGCAAAAAGTCTCCCTTTTAGGTCTCATATTGGCATTACCTACTGCATTTTAATTTAATTTAATTTTTTCTTTTTCAAAAGGAAGTAAATGTGCTGCTCTTACGAAGTAGATCTAGCTCAAACACTTTTCTTACCCGTGGAAGAATAACCTGAGATTCCCTAACAGGGCAGAGAACAGTCGAGTTCAGTTTGCAATGTAGACATTTTTGCTAATTGTGATGTATGACAGTGGGACTGATTTGTAATACAAATGTTATTTAATCTGTCTGTATTTTGATACTTGAATTTCCTTTTATTTCCTGTATATACAATTGTTAATCTGTTTGAATTTGTCTGAATTTTAAACATCTTGTGGTACCAAACATAACCAATCTGTGCAACAACATAGACTGACCTCACTACAACAAGGCGAGATTGTAAATATTCCTGGGCTTCCAGCAGTCGTTTTGTTGTTTTCATAATTGTACAACTTAGAACAGACTGAATTAATAAACAAACTTAGACACACATTTGCCCTGTCGTCACTGTGACCTAAGTGTGACACAGCAGCCTTCTGGTCATCTGTGTCAGAGCAGTGCTCTTCTCGTGCCTGACCTGAGCAGCCAAAGCAGGTAAGAGGAAGGAAGGGGTGAGGGTGGGCAGCACAGTGAGCTTTAATGAGTGTAGCCTGGCACTGCACATATGTTGTTTTGCTTTGTAAAGCCAAGGAACAAGAAAACATCAACAGCGTCGAAGCATTGCGCGGAGATCATTTGCTGGTATTGTGGAAGCAAAGTACAGGATGCTGTTCTGTTGGGAACAGGCCTGATGTCATTCTTTGGCAGCAGAATCAGGATATGTGCCATCCTAACGTGTGTGGCATTCTAGATGCAGAATGCTGGCTGCTCAGCAGTCACTTTGGCTGAGGCTGCTCTTTTTGCAGCTAATCATACTGATCCCGAATACAAAATTCTTTTCAGACTTATTTATGTATAAAAACTCATCTGTGTGTTCTTGAAAGATAGACTTACCTACAGCGTGATGGTCTGCTATCACCTTGTCCATGGGAAAAGCTGATGTTAAGCCTTTTAACATACATGTGCGAGGACTGTTCTACCAAGGATGGAATGTCAGGACCCTGATTTAGCAATGATAAACACTCAAACCAACGCTCTGCCACGCAGCAGCCATCGATTCATGTAACAACAGTAACAGTTTGGGCAGCCATTGTATATAGTATTTACCAGCAAGGATTTTTGGCATACCAAGAAGTAGGACGTTTTCACTATATAAAATTAGAGCAAGAAATCCAGGCATTTAAATACAGGTTAAAGTTCAGGGTTTTGTGTCAAATAAAATCTGGCTGATGTGAAATACTAAATACATCGGGGGCTGCTAAATTTATACCATATGTTCCATCTAATAACTCAGTAAGTCAGGTTTTCAAGCTAACACTGAAATATATTGAGCAGTTTTAATGATCTTAAATACCATATGGCTTTATCAAATCCAAACTGCGTCCCTGGGCTGTGCCTAACATTTCAGCAGAGCAGGCTACAGACCCACCGCAGAATTAACACCTTGAATTAGGGAAAAAATAAAGAAAAAACCTGAAATTTCATTGCAGTTTTATATCCTCCACCTCCCATTTCCTTCCCTGCTAAATAGTGGCAGTTTTTTGGTGGGACAAGAAAGCCGTTGCCTTTTGCAGTTGAGAGGTTTATTCAGATATTGACATGCTAAGAGTCACTTCCCAGTAGCTGTGCTGCCTAGATGGGTTCGTCTGATTTTTTTTTTACAAGCTGAAGCATGATTTGAGAAATTGTTGGAGAATGTGTTCCACCCTTGTCCTCCTGTGTGGTACGTAGCAAAGATGATCACATAGAATATCTTCCTGAATCTGGTTCTGCCTCTGGGAAAAGCACTTTCTTGAGAATTGCTGAGTAGAAAGGGCCAAACACCTGCCTGTTGTGGTAGGTCACACTTCTGAACCTGCGCCCGACTTCCTGCAGCTCTTCCTGAATGGCATCAAGACCCTTTGGGAAATCTTTCTGAGAATTTTGTCCATCGGGGGAAATAAAAAGGCTGAGGAACAGGTGAATCCGCTGCTCTGTAAGGAGCAAGAGTAGGAAAACAAAAATCAGTTTATGCAGAACATTAGCCTTGAGACAAAGGCTTCCTTGTGCAGTCAGGAGCAGAGCTGAGGACAGCTGCACTGTTGCAGGGTGCCATGGACCTGTACTGTTGTAGATGGACTTGGAGACATAGTGAATTAATGTGGTGTTCTTCCAAGTACTAAGATGAGACAGCATTCAGCATAGGAACAGAGGTGAAACTATCTCCAAGCATCATGTTTGTGAGTATTAGGTATATACATGCCTTGTTTTCACTTTGTCCTGGGCAGCTGATTTTAACAGTGGCTGTAGCTGGGATGCTGGGCTGGCAGACATTAAGTTTGATGAATTTGGCCATGCTAAAGTGGAGCAGCTCAACAGTATAGATTTTTTTTTGCCCACTCTGTGAGTTTTTGAACAGAACTGAAGTGTTAGGCATCTTAGAAGCATAATGGAATATAGAACTTCAGAGCCCGGGATTTATCTGGACTGCCACAGCAGCATTTTAAAATTGAAAGTATTCAGGAAGCCTCTCTGAGGAGCACAGAGCTGAGATTAACTACCCAACTACCTCAGATGTTCTTGTGTTTCAAGTATGTATTTGGGAAATGCTGATAGTGGACAAAGAGTACAGACAAGACGTTGATTTTTAGACACAGCAAGGGGAAGACTGTCTGGCTCTGTAGCTTCTAATGCTGCTCCATCAGTGAGTCATTGCCACCACATACTGCCCAGCCTGTGGTGCAGCGAGGTTGGCTTAGGCTATTAATTCAGCTTCCTGAATTCCTTCAAAATAAAGTAGCCTGCTGTCTGACATGCAAGGAATAAACCCAGGTAATGTAGGTAGACTTGGGTGGGCTGAGGAGGATACGTGATACACTGGGCAGGAAGAGCTTCACCTTATTTTCATAGCTGACAAAAGATAGTCTTGCATGTGAAAATAATCTTTCCTGTAGTGTAGTATCCGCCTGTGGCACTGCAATCTGATGTGGAGCTATAGCTTTCAGAGTACTAATAAAAGGTCAAAATAATCAGCTCTCATCAAAATCATTTGAGTAAATATTTTGATGGAGCAGCAGTATAGGGGAAGCTAGTTAGCTGAATACCATGCAGTGCACTCCCTAGGGATAAATATTACTTAAAGATCTTAGCATGGTGCTTTACTTGAGTCAGTGATTAAGCTCTCACTCTACATCCTAGCCTGAAGATTGCCACATCACCTAGTAACAGATCTTGCACTTGGGCCTGTTTAGCTTTTAGCAAGGATGGTAGGATTTAAGAGATTTTCAAAGCAATTACTGTTAGGGAGCCAGAGTGGAATAGGAAAATCAGGGCAGTTTCTAGCTTCCTTGCTTCTGCAGTAGTTCTGCACAATGTAGGGAGTTTGCTTTGCTGTCACCTATCTTACACTTGTCCTGCACATTCTAAGGTCAAAGCCTAACAGTAGAAGACCTCTTTACTTAGTGCTGAGTTAGACATAAGCTCAGGAACTCACTGATGATGTGCCGGACTGCGTTGCCCTTGTCTGCAATGCTTTTTATCTGGCCTTTCAGGGATGTACATTTCTCACTGGCAAAAGCAGGGTAACCCAGCTGTGAGAGTGTTCTGCTGACTTCCTGGAGCACTTGATCACTGATGTCTTGCAAAGCTTCTTCATACCTGAATCGTGCAAAAGTACATGCACTCTAGCATGTTTGCTGGGAAAGGGGTCTTGCAAGCAAGGAATTCTCTCCATGAGCCCTTTTGTCCTCAGCAAGGACAGGTAGCATATAACAACCAGTGCTGAGCCACAGCTGTAGTGCCTAACATAAGTGAATTAAGTTTCCTTTCTTTCCCTGCTCTTTGACAAACAGGTGAAATCCCTGCACTACTGATTTTCCCCATTAACCATGAAGGGACAATGGCTCTAGAGTGTTAGCTCCAACTAAGTATGCTGGCTGGTGTTCTGGCTTCTCTCACTCCTTGCAGTAGGCCTGGCTGCTATTTGGATCTCAAGTCCTCTACTGCTGCAAGAGGAGATTCCTGTTGCTTATCCTACAGTCAACCAGTGCCTGCAACCTCACTCTTCTCCTTCTGGAAAATAAAATATAAAATAACCCACCTGATAGAAGGCAGCCCTTCCAAGAGGACCTTTGTTACCAGTTTCAGCCTATCAATAAACCCAGGTGAGCCAAACAAGGTGTTTCCACACACGCCACTAGTCACAAGCAGGACTGCAGCTATGATGGTAAGCTGATTCACTTGTGCTTGTACTTCCTGTAGTCGAGCCTGATCCAGAAGCAAGGTCTGTGAACAGAAACCACACCAGCCTGTGAGCACACAGGCAACATCTGTGGTAACAGAGCAATTCTCAAGCCACGGAGCAGAGCTGTAACAGCTCCATGAAGCTGAGTGGAGGGAGGCTGATTGGCAGCAAGGAGATTTAGTCTTGTGATAAATCCAACTTGTTTCACCTGGGGAACAAACCCTGTCCAGTGGCATAGAAGGGACTGAGAGTCTGGACAGATCTTTCTGTAGAAGAAGCAGAACCTGTACACTTGTTTGTTTTGTGTATCTTTGCATCTTTTCCCTAGAAATGTCCCAGTGCTTGTCTTACCTCAGGGTATTCACTTTGTCCGGGCTCCCAGCAGAGCAGATCCATGTAGCCTTGATTTAGCACAGACATGACACTAGGCACAGTTGTGCCACTGCTGACTGCTCCCTGGAAGTGTGCATCAGAAGAGCTGCTGGCTGCAGGGCAGGACTGAGACTGCAAAGAGGATGCAGACACTGCTGCTGCTGCTCTGCGCAGCCACTCTGTTGTGTTATCCAGGCTATCTGCAATGTGTTTTAAAAAAAAGAAAGAAACAAAAAAGGATGTTTGCAAGAACAGGTAGGTCAGGCTAAGTCAGTAAAACTGTCTACATGATGTTCCAGGCTGAAGGGGATGTGCATCTGGGATGGTGGGGAGGGACTTACCCCACCTCTGCCATGCAGTATTTATGTCCTATTGGCAAGACACAAGGCTAGGCTACTGAGACTGGCATCTGGAGAGCTTTATATTGAATAGAGTCTTCGAAAAACGCCTTTAATTAAATCTTACAAGGGAGTGAGGCAGCCAAAGAGAAATATTCTATGGCCTAACAAAGAAGAGGGGTGTACATCAAATACTGGCTTTCCTCTTCAGATACCTATGCTAATGTTTTGATGATTCCTCTGTGGATCTCAAAACACTTAAAAATTCAGAGATCTTACAGTTCCTCATGAGGTAGCTATTAGGTCTAATGCATGCAGAAACTGAAGCACGCTAAGTAACTTCTTTTCTGCAAAGTATAGTAGTGAAGAGGCTGAGAAAGGGACCCCAGAGTCCTTCTGCTTTTAGAGGTATTTCTCTCAAGTTATTGAGCGTGTGATGAAAGCATCAGCTTTAGGATACTCAAGTTCCTTCTTGGTGCTTTAATAGCTCCTGTAGAAGTAATAGTTCTTTCCTCTTCCCCACTGACTTACTAGGAAGCTTATCTAAGATTTTCTGGAATTTCTCCTGTTCATACTGGACGTAGCATTCCTGTAGGTACGGACGGAGGCTCTGGATGGTAAAATTCAGCATATCCATTTTCATCAGGTCCAGCACCCGGAAGATCTCCCTGAGATGAGATACAAGGATTTGAAAGCTTAACACAGTATTAAAAGCTATAGTTGGAGGTCATTTTGGAATAGTGTGAAAGAGGAATTCAGATCCTCTGACTTCATTCTATTTTCTGACAAAAGGCTGCTCAGTCTAATTGTGGTGTCTGGTCACTAAAAATTACTAGAAAAATTAGATTTACTCCACTGGAGACTCTTCTACGGTCTGGGAACAGCTGGCTAACACAAATATATCTACATACTGGAGAAAAAAAAAAAGATACAATTGCAGGGCAATTTCCTCTAAACCCCATGTTTTATTGTTGATGCTTTTGCTGGTCTACAAGACGGAGTAAGCAACACCCACCTGAGAAGCTCAGCTGGGTCTGTGAGGCTTTGCAGTCCTTGCACTTCCTCATCTCGAAAAGGCGCACACAGCATTGCCATTGTGCCAAGGATGCTCGTGGTGAGACCGCGGATGTCCAGAGCCCCATGCTCAGCCTCCTGCCTAATCAGCTCCAAGTCCAGGACCCCTTCAATTTGGCTTCGCAGCTGGCTGTTCTGAGGCAGGAGCAGTAATAATAGAGCCTGCCCAAAGAAGCAGCACTCTGGCCTGTGTTCTGGGGACACGACAGTTCTCCAACAGAACTGCATCTCACAACAGAAATTGAGGCTGGCCTTGAATTGGGTGAGGCTCAGCAAACAAATTGTGGGTCATACCATTGCTTTAAGAGAATGCTTGTCTTTAATGACTCATTTCAGAATGTCTGGCCACATATTGCAAAATCTCCTTTACCTCACGCAAAAAAGTAGGGAATTATTTGCCTGGGAAAGCAAACCATATGCAATTTCATGCCATGCTAAGACTATTTTATTTTAGTTCTAAGCAATGTTCTTAAAGATTACAATGTACACTTACACAGTAGGGACTGTTTGTCGCACACCTGAAGGGTTGTGTTTGTACAGACAATTGCAGTTTGTGGGGTTTTTATTATTACTAAAACCAACAGTTAAATGGGCTTTTTGTCATTTTGGTAGAGTGTTTTACAGACCTGGGACCAGAGAACGAGTTTCCTTCTCAGTCAGGTTTTAGAAAGTGCAGCTATTTAAGTTCTGTTTCCCAGTAAACTAAATGGAGCTTATTTTCTCTTCCCTCTTACACTGTTCACAGGGAATATTTGGATGCAAGGAAAGACTAATTCGAAGGTACCCGTCCTCCCCGTGTCAGGATCAGCTGACCTCTTTTATTTCCTGCAGCAGTTGGATTGCCTGAGTGTAGTCTGGAGGACTAGCAGAGATCTGTTTTTTCAGGCGGTCCCAGAAGGCTTTGTGCAATGTCTCCTTCACTCTATTTTCCAGGCTAAGAAAGAAGAGAGGGAGGTTTCTATTAACATCAGATAAACACAACCTCTCAGATGCATTCAGGTCTTTGACTTTTAGTTTTTCATAGAAATCTCTCTCAACCTGCATTTCTCATTCTTCTAAAATGGAGCTCCTTATTCTAACCTCTGTTTGTAACTGCACTTAGCCCCTCTTCATAGTGGGTTAGAAAGAACGTGGCATTTTCCACAGAAACACTTTCAGTCCTCAGAAAAGATCAACAGAGCATTTTTCTAACCAGTGCTCATCTTTCCAGGAAAGAAAGAACATGGGTGACTTAAACAGATCCTTAACTGATGTGCAGACACTTGAAAGGTGTCCACCGAACATTTTGCTTTGTGTCAAAGTCAGAGCTGAAGCCTTCATTTCTTTCATTGTGAGTCACATCTGATACTCATCGTATTTAAGATCTTCTTAGTAAATAATGAAGTGATGAATAAATCAAGTCTTTGTTTTGTTCCAGGAACTATCTTCTTGTTTCTATACTCAGGCCAAACCCACCTCCTTTCCATGTTACATGATAAAAAGAAGCCAAGCCTGAATATGTGTATTTATTGATATATACATACATACACACCTGTGTGGGGGGAAGTTGACCATGTGCACTTTCAAGTCAGCATTCAGTACAATTTCATGTACAGTGCTGAGTCTGAAGACCTCATCACTCAATTCTTGCAGCTCATTTGTGGAGAGAATTTGTGGAGAGCTGGCTGCAGAAAAGCAGAATAAGAATGAATGAGATAAACTTTAACATCCCTTGCAATTCAAACCAATCTGTGGTCCTACGTATGCTGAACACAGCAAGAAGAGATCATGAGCTAGCAGTGTGAGGCCATGAAGACCAATGGTATCCCAGGCTGCATTAGGAAGAGTGCTGCCAGCAGAGTGAGGGTTATCCTTTCCAACTCAGCCCTGGAGGGGGCACACCTGGAGCACTGCACCCAGTGTGGGGCTTCCCAATTCAAGGCAAACAGGGAACAGCTGGAGAGAGCCCAGCAGAGAGGCATGAAGATGAGTAGGACCTGAAGCATCTCCCTAATGAGGAAAGGCTGAGACACTGGGGCTGTTCAGCCTGAGGAAGGGAAGGCTGAGAAGGGATCTGATCAACATGTACAAACGTGACCTCATTGGAGCCTTCCAGGACCTAAAGGGAGCCTACAAACAGGAGGGAAGTCAACTCTTTACAAGGTTAGATAATAGCAGGACAAGAGGAAATGGTTTTAAGATGAGGGGGGGAAGATTTAAGTTGGATGTCAGGGGGAAGTTCTTTACTATGAGAGTGGTGAGGTGCTGGAACAGCTGTCCAGAGAGGCTGTGGATGCCCCATTCCTGGAGTTGTTCAAGGCCAGATTGGATAGGGCCCTGGGCAGCCTGGGCTGGTATTAAATGGGGAGGTTGGTGGCCCTGCATGCAGCAGGGAGCTTCATGACCCTTGAGGTCCCTTCCAACCTGGGCCATTCTCTGATTCTACTAAATGTCTTGAAGGTGGGTATGAACAGGAAGGGGGGCTGGGCTGTTTGCTGAGGTGCCCAGCAACAGGACCAGGAGCACTGGGCTCATAACAGAACTCAGGAAGCTCCTTCTGCACATGAGAATCATAGAACAGCTCAGGTTGGAAGGGACCTTTGTATCAGAAATTGTGTGGTGAGTAAGACTGTGGAAGTCATCCTGCCCCTGTACTCAGCATTGCTGAGGCTCCACCTCGAGTACTGTGTTCAATTTTGGGCACCTCAGGACAGAAGGGACACTGGAGCAGGTCTGAGGGGCAACAAGGCTTGTGAAGAGCTTGGAGAATAAGGCCTACGAGGAGCAACTGAAGGAACCGGGGCTGTTTGGTCTGGGGAAGAGGAAGCTGACGGGAGACCTTATTGCTCTCTTCCAATACCTGAAAGGTGATTGCAGCAGAGCAGGATTGGTCTCTTCTCACTGGTGACAGGATGAGAAATGGCCTCAGGTTGCACCAGGATAAGTTTAGTTTGGATATCAGGAAAAAAAAAAACAAAACAACAAAGGGTTGTTAAACACTGTAATGGGCTCCCCAGGGAGGGATGTGTTTAAAAACCGTTTGGATGTGATGCTCAGGGATATGATTTAGCGGAGGGCGGCTGACACCTAGTGACCACTCAGGGCGGTGCTGGGCCCCCCCACCGGCCTGGCACCGCCCGGGCCCGGGCGGTGCCAGGCCGGTGGGGGGGCCCAGCACTGCCTGAGGCACCTCCCAGCCCGCAGAGCCGTCCGGGGGCTCCGAGCCCACCCCAGCACCGCCCTCCGTACCCAATCCAGGCCCCAACGGCCGCTCCTCGCCGCTTTCCCGAGTCCCCACAGCCTCCTCAGTATCATTGGGCTGCGTGGGCTGCTCGGCGCCGGCCATAAAGGAGGTGGCGATCTGTGTGGCGCGGCGCTTCCACCCCTCACGGAGCGGCCGTTGGCACTGCGGCGCGTGCCGCCTTCTTCCCGCCTCACTTCAAACAGGGCCAAACCACTGCTCGGCGGGAGGGGGGGGTAGGGAGAGGAATCCGAGTAACTTTACCAATGTATTCCGAGTCCATCCGCGGATTATCGCCCTCAGCCGGCACCAGAAGGCGGGGAGCGCCAAGCGGGGTGACATCGCTCCGCAGGTCAACGCTCAACGAGCCCCGCTGTCTGGACACACACCCCCTCTCCCCCCCTGCGCCGATGGGCCGCCCCGCAGCCCCTGGTCCCGCTGCGCGGCGGGGCTCTACCATGGGAAGGCGGGGGGGGGGGTTGGAACTCAGCGCCTCGTGGGAGGGAGAAGGGCGGGAGCGGTGGGGGGTGAAGGGACGGGAGCGCGCCGCTGATTGTGAGAAGCTGTCAGCAGAACCCAGGAGCCTGCACCTCCTAGATGTGTTTCTGCTAGAACCGTCTGAGCTATGAGTGATCTCTAAAAGCCATCCCTGCACGCCCGCAGCTCCATCAGTGCTCACAGCCCCCTGCGGGTCTCTGGGGATGCGGCATCACCGCCTCTGCAGCCCGTGTGGTGGCTGCAAAACCTTCCTGATATCCAGCCTAAACCTCCCCTCTTTGAGGCCCTTTCCCCTTCCCGTCACACAGACCCTGCTGTCCTCTGTCCCCTCCTTTCTCAGCTCTCAGCCTGTCTTGCAGGGCAGCGTCCCATCCCTGGGATCACTTCTGTGGCCCTCCTCTGGATGTGCTCCAACAGCTCCACGTCCGTCCTGTGCTGAGGACTCCCCATCTGGACGCAGTGCTCAATGCACAGCAGAGGGGCAGATCCCCTCCCTGGCCCTGCTGGCAGCACTGCTTTGGATGCACCCAGTTTGGCTTTCTGTGCTGTGAGGGCACAGTGCTGGCTCATGCCCAGCTGCCACCCACCAGTACCCTCAGGTCCTTTTTGGCAGGGCTGTGCTCCAGGGTTGCCACAACCCAGGTGCAGACGTTGCACTTGGCTCTGCTGAACCTCCTGGACCCAATGCTCACCCATCTCTGTTGGCATCCCGTCCCTCACACAGATCGACTGCACCACACAGCTTGGTGTCATCAAAGGTGCGCTCAGCCCCACTGTTGATGTCAGTGATGACAATAAAGAGCATCACTCCCATTGCTGATACTGGGACTGTCAGTATTTTATGCGCTGGGGCCGGGAAACCAAAAGCTACTGCTCTTTCTGCATCCACTCCTTTTATTGTGTTGTGCTGCTGCAAAAGGGAGCCAAGCACGGGTTCACCTTTTGCTTTCTGCCCCTGTCTGCTGCTTGCAAGGTGCAGCAGCTTTCCTTAACAAAGGCATTACCAGCGTGACCTTCCCAGTCACCTCCTCCGCACAGTTTTTCATAGGTGGAAGCTGCAAATGCTCCGTGAGGCTTTTTAGGCTGCAGCTGAACAAAAGGCAGTGGCCGTGGCCGGTTCCCATTGCCCTCTGAGGAATGGCAGGAATTTCTCCGCCGTCCACAGACTGGGGGAGTTACAGCATCAGCACAGGGCTGATTGTTTTTATACCAAAAGCCTGTGCGAAGCTGTGGCTTAGTGGCTGTCAACTGCCAGGGTATTAACCTTAGACCTGTCAGAGTGAATAAAATGAAAAAGCCGGCTGTGTAGTCCTGGGGAGGCTCCAGAAAGTGCTGCTGGGTCTGCAACAGCTGCAGTGTGCTTCCATCTAACTTTTCTCATTTGTTTTTAATCAATTTTCTTTCTGGCCAGCCCAGAAAGCAGTGGGTGACCATGTCCCATTTTGCTCTGTCCTCCACCAGGGCTGGGATTAAATCTTCTGTGGGGCAAAATGCCCAGTCTGTGATGAGGCTTCTTGTGCTTTAATGAAGGGTTTGCCTTTCTTCTCTCTTCCAGCTCCCTCCTATTTCCCAGGCATCTGATAACCCTCTCTGTCTGACACCTGCACTGTTGATGGCTGGAGCTGGGAGGTCTCAGAGCACTGCAGGTCTGTGGGATGGGAGGTCTGGGGGACCCATGGTGGGACAGGCACGAGAACCAGCCTGTTTGGGAGCCGGAGCCTTGATCCACCCCTTGTAAAACAGCTCTGTCCTCCAAAGTCTCTGAAACGCTTACGAGTTCTGGGTGTTGTGGCTGGAGAAAAGCAAAGGATGAAAGGCACAGCACTGGCACACCATGTGGGGACAGACAACCTAATTACCACACGTAATTAGTTACAGCTTCACAGCTGGGCTGTATGAAGCTGCAGCTCTCCTCGCCCGCTGCAGTTGCAATGGAGAATAGGCTGTGCGTGTTTTAAAGGGGTTGGAGCTGCCACCGTTGCTGTGGGTTTGCAGCAGGCTAAGGGTACAATTAACGCAGCTCAGCTGATGAGTTGTAACCCATTTTGTTTGTGTAAACAACTCCATGCCAGGAGGGGCTAGCCCTAACCTGAACCCGTGGCAGTCCCTCTGTGCATCTGCAGAGCATGGTTGTGTTAAAGTGATCTCCTTAAACCGGCTGATTTCCTCAGGCTCCCAGGGAGCTGTAAAATTATCCCATCAAAAAGCAATAAGGGGAAAGTGCTCAGCTTGGGCAATGCTGCAGTGACATCAGATAGCGACCAGCCCTTGGCCTGGGGCTGGATGCTGCCAAGGAACAGCTGGGAAAACCCCAGTGCGCAGACAGCCCTTTCCTCTTGCTCAAAGATAGAGCTTGTCCAGCATGTAGGACTGCTTGCATATGCAGGATCATTGACACAGTGGGCTCATCCCAAAGAGAAGCTACAGACATGCTGGGAGCTCAAGGAGGCTTTGAGGGTTGTTGCTTTGCTCTAAGCACCAGGAAGGGGCTGGCAGACAGGCAGGATTGTGAGAAATAAAACCAGTGAGGTTTTTGATGGGGCCAGTCTGGTCCAAATCCTGTCTGGGAATTCCCCACAGTTCTCCCTGTTTGGCTTCATGTGATCCCACTTCTTCCTCTTTCTGACCTTCAGCTTCAAGCAAAGAAGCCGAGATGCTGTTTATGTCAGAAAATAAAGCAGTGCAGCTCACCGATAACTTCAGTTTGCTCTCATCCCCCATTTCAGAGCACGGTTCAGGTCTATAAGTCCTGGTCTCAGAAGAGGCAATAATGTATATTTAAATGTGTATGTATTAGCCCTGCGTTGGTTTTCTTTCCCTGGTGACTGGTGACATGAACTGTAATAGCAGAATGCATTTATAATATATTTCCCTGCAAGGGAATCCAATTCCTGGGTGGCTTTCCCTTGCTGGCAAGGCAGAGGACCTCAGAAGTGCTGGTGATAATTTAGATTGGTGCTTTTAATCTGCCATTTTAATGAGTGCCATCCATCTCTCTGATTAGATTCTTCTCATCCATCTAGGCAAAATCACAACAGGGAAAACAGGGATTTTGAGTTTTCAGGGTGAGTGTCAGGCAGCAGCTTCTGTGTGGTTATTTTCAATTCACCCTTTAATAACCTCCCAAGTTTCTAACCCCTATGATCACATTGGCTCTCCTCTGATCCAAGGAACTGCCTTGGAGAGCAGAGAGCTCCATGTGCCATCCCTCCATGCCCCAAAACTCAGCACAGAAGCATCCTGTGCTTTTGCTTTGCTGGGTGCAGCAAGGTGGCAGCAGGAGGGAAGGGCCCTCTCGTTCAAACAGAAATACCTTTGGCAGCAGCCGCAGCCAATGGAAAGGGGAAATGGATTTTTTGTTGAAAAGTTGGCGTTGTTTTTTCAAGTCTGACGAATGTGAAAGTCCCCATTTAAAGGAGGCGAACCTGCAGTGAAGTCGGTCACTGTTTACACACCCACGCGCCGACTGGGGCGGCCGAAAGCAAACTTCCTGGTGTATCCTGCTCCAAATCACCTGGGAGCGGAGCTCATTGAGCAGGGCTGCAGCTCTGTCTGCAGAAAGCAAGCCCTGTCCGAGCAGGAGACGCAAAGCCCCGCTGGCGTTAGGGCTCTTGCTTGCAGAAAATGGGGGAGTTCCCTACGTGCTGTGGCTTTGTTTCTGCTAGGAGTTCTCTTTCCAGGAGGAGAGCAAGCAGGCTGGAAGGCAGAGAGCGCAAGCAGGTGTTTTTGGAGGGTGTAGGGGGGGAGCTGGGAAAGAAAGAAGTTTTCCCTCTCCCCCACAAGGCAGGAAAGCTTTCTTTGCAGGAGCTCCTGGTGCGCCTGACAAGGTCAGGGTTGTTTCTGTGCTGGATGCTGGTGTGAACATGTGGGCAGGCAGCTGGATCCTGAAGAGCTTGTAGCTCCCCTGCAAGCCAATGAAGCATTACCATCTGTCTTATCCGGGTGAGAAGATGGAAGTGCTGGGCTGCACAGTTCTGGTCGTGGTGTTGAGATTGCCGTAGCTGCTGGTTGCAGTTTGGGAGCTGGTTGGGTTGGCGGCTTTCCTCTGCTGCTTTGGCATGGATGTGGAAGGTGTGTACGTGCCCGCGGTGCGCTACATGTTTCACCAATGACTAGAGCAGCTATTAATTCCCTCCTCCTAAACCAGAGCGTGACCATCTCCACGAGACACCCCATACATGCGGAATGTTGCCACCTCTATCTGGGCGCACGTGTCCTGGCCGTGGGATCTGGCCACCTTCAGCAAACCATTGCTCACCCAGCCCAGCCTCCTGTGGCCAGCGCCTGATGTCAGCGCGTTGTGAGCTGACCCGTCATCGTGTACTCAGGGGACAGGTCACCTCTGGGTAAACTGAGGCTTGGAGGGCTTTATTTCGTGGTCACATAGTCAGCCTGGTGCCAAGAGGTGCTCGCCGTGCTCCTTTGCCCTGTTGGATGCTTGTTCAAGAAACATGGAGATGTGGCACTGGGGGACATGTCTTAGTGAGCGTGGTGGGAACGGGTAGATGGTTGAACTTGGTGATCTTTTCCAACCTTAAGGATTCTATGCTTCTGAACATGGTTTTGGGTGTTTTTGGCAAAGCACCGGTTTGCTGCAGTGCCGCTGGCTCGGCGCCTTTGGATAATCTTCGTATTTGCTGACTTGACTCAATTCTTGCTTGGTGGAGAGCTCGGCTCCGGCAATGCCGCGGTGTGGGGAGGCCCGAA